AATAATAATGACGGGCGAAACCGTGGGCGTTCGTTGAGTGGGTTGCCTTTCCGCAGGAAGGTTAGCCACTCGAAAGCGGAGCTTGGTAGAACACGTCTTCATGGTACGAAGTCAAAAGGCTCTCTCCCTCCTCTCCTTTACCCTAAAAAAGACCGTAAAAAATAATACGTAGTTGCTCATATATGTAAGAAAGTGTATATTCTTGTGGCTGGTTTATAAAATAATAATAGATGAATGTGACTTCAAAATAAAATAAACTTCAAATAAATGTCAACCTGGTTGCTATTTTCTAAAACACATTAGTTTATATTATACTTTGTATCCTTCTAGAATTCTAGTAGTATATATATATATATTGCATCTGAAATTACGATAATCTACTTTTAACATATTAAAATAATGGTCATCTTAGTGACTGATGCTCACAATATAGTGAGTAACAAAAGTGGGATTCTATAATAAAAAATCTGTCCCTCTCGTACAGCCTGGTTAAAGTGGTAATCAGTTTGAAATGGGTTAAAATTACGCCTAAATAATTAAGGTTTTGAAACTTAACTGACTGTTAACTTCCTGGAAGTTACTTTAAGCGGTTATGTCCCCTCTCCTAGAGAGAAAATCTCGACACATCAGCTGGTAATGAACATACACATACTTTATAAACGTGACATTTTGTGATACTAAGAAAGAGAGAGAGGAACAATTTATTAATCTGTCATCTGTTTCACATAACGTGACGATGTGAGTGCATATTGTGCTTAGTCATCATTCATAATATTGACGTCAGTACCATGCACTAACTACAAACCAAACGTATAACTGTGATATAAACTTGAAAAGTAAATAAATCCCATAAACATTTGACCGACACCTTGTTGAAGAATTTGAAATATTACTATGGTACAGAAACGTAAAATATGTCATAATTTAAAAAAAAACACATAATTTACGTTACAGTGTCAAAAATCACAAAACTAAGACAAAATGTCCTTCAAGCAAGTCCACATCAGATTTGTTGCCATCTTGTCTGTACTGTAATATAAAAAAAAGAAAGAAACTGACACGTGTGGTATGAAATAGGTTTTGCCCGTGTTAAAAAAGCTTACTGTTGACGGATAATTAACTGCCTTTTATAAAAAATTCCTTTACATTTAGGAGTATGGACGAGTTTTTGTGCAATTACTGTTATTATTTCATCTTGTATATTATATATGTGTGTGTGACTGGCATTACTTACTAACGATATGATAGATTGTAGTCTGACTTAATGTAAATGTTGATAAAGTAGTAAAAAAACAACAAACGAAGTTAGCTTAGAAAGGACAAGTGAAAGGTGAAGTTTAAAAGTAAAAATGATCCAATTTCAAAAGAAAGCTTTATACAATATAAATAAAGTATGGTGGCATATTAATCTTCTTCGTGATATGACTTTGATCTGTAACCACAGAAATTACATGTGATTTTTTAATAATCTACTGTGTCATTTTATTCC